CGGTTCCCTAACGAAGGCGTAAGCAGCCCCTCTCCCTTCTCCGCGGCAGCGGCCTGGGCCCATGCCCTCCAGGCAGCGCTCCTGGCCTGCCGATCCGCTGCCTGAAGGCCGTTGACGTGATCCCTCACCCCCTCCAGAAACTCCAACGCACCCCGCCCTCCGCCCCGGAGCAGACAGATAAGGTCAGAGATGGAGGAGGAGGCCCACGGCAGAAGTGGACCTTCCAATGGCCAAGAGATACAAAAGCGGGCAACAGTTTTGCACTGGCGCTCGAGGGCGGCCAGTCTTGGACAGCCCTGCTCCCTAGCATTGTGTGCGAGGCAATGGAGGCGCATGCACGCTGACAGAAAAGACGTCCAAGTGCGAAACTCCAGGGGCGATCCCTGGCGAATGTCTTGCTTCCAAGCCGTCTCCAACGGCTGGTGCGCTACTTGGAACCCCTTGCTTCTACCTTGCCAGCTCGACTCACACCACGGTTGGATGTCATGGGGCTGTATAAGATATGATTCAACGTGATCCAGCCAGGCCTCACAAGCAGGCCCAACTCAGAAGGCAGCTCTGTACCGATCTGCCGCGGCCACTCCCATGGCTCCGATTCCACGGGGGCGGGCCGGACTGGCAGCGGTTTCTCCGTGGGGAACTTTTTCGGGTAGATCGCTCTAGGAACCTTGGCCTGCCTGTGCAAGCCTTGGAAACGAAAGGCAACAGGACAGTGCGTCCGCGAAGGCGCCGCCTCTACCATCGCCACCTCCGCGACGAAGGGGGCGATCACGTTGCTGCAGATGGCGAAATCCAGCTCCCGGCTTCCGCACGTGGGCTCCCCCGAGCAGAGGACTTGTCCTTGCGCCTTCTTCGACCATGAATCCAACTCTGGCGGAGTTAGGTTCCAATCGCGTGCTATCAGCCAAGGGCCCTGCAAAGATCACGCATACTGCATCAGGGACTCCAGGAAATCGAGGTTCTCCCCCATGAACCCGATGCTGGTGGTGAGGTGCACCGATATCAGGTAGAACGGGACGTTGAGGCCAATGTTCAACATCATAGCGGATACCCGATGCCCCGGAAAGGTCGCAAAAGTCATAGGCGAGCACGGTGAAACCGTAATTCTCGACAAAATCGCGCACCCCCCGCTGGACTCTGTGAGTCCCGCTCCAGTGGACTCTGCCAGATGGAAGCTGTGGTAGAACCCCCTGTCCGATGACCATTTGTGAGCTTGGTTGACCTTGCCAGGCTCCTTGAGCCGATGCTCCTGTAGACAAAGTACATCTGGGAAACGCAACTCGGCATCATGCCGTGCCCACTCCAGCATTGATTGCGCCGATGCCCACGTGCTGGAGTTGAAAGACCAAACCGTGAAAGACGAAGTGCAATCATTACCCACGTTTGGGTTTCTTGGCAACCGACTGGATTCCATCAAGAGGAAGAGGAGGAGGAGGAGGAGGAGGAGCGGGAGGAGGAGCAGTAGCAGTAGCAGTAGCAGTAGCAGTAGCAGTAGCAGTAGCAGTAGCAGTGGCAGTGGCAGTGGCAGTAGCAGTAGCAGTAGCGTGGAAGAAGGAGTGCCAGGGCAACGCCATGGCGCAGGAGGCCTACCGACGGATGGGCGACTACACGGACCAGCTCTACCGTGGCAAGGGCTTTACGTTCAACATGTACTACAAGTGCTCGGCCACCAAGACCTGGGACAATCCCAAGGGATGCTGCTCGGTGATCCGTTCGGATCGCTGGGCGCAACTGCTCACCTGCGCGCAGGAGGCGGCGGGGGAGTCCGGCCAGCGCTGGTACTGCCATTGTGGCGCGCGCTACGCGACCTCCTACGGCGTCTGCATCGAGATCATAGAGGAAGAGCTGAGCCCGCCCCGCGCGTGCTACATGCGCGCGGACTTCCCTCAGGAGGACATCCGCGACTTGAAGGCCCTGCTGCGTTGCGACAAGCTCAAGAGGGAGGGGGTAGCGGTGCTCAGCGCTGTGGACCTCCTGAAGCACCTGCCCAAGGTCGAGCCGCTGGCGGTGGGCGCCGTCTTCAAGCGCTACGCTCCGCTGCAGCCGCAGTGGGAGGGCCACTGCGTGCTGATGGACGGGCTCTGCTGGGACGACCTGCCTGAGTTCGAGCGGTCCGACTTGCGCTCGCAGGTTGCCTGGGGGCTGAACGATCCAGCCTGGGCGGGCTACAGCAAGAACCAGCGGGAGAAGGCCAGGAAGGAGCGCCTGGCGGCCGCGTACGCGGAACTGGAGGCCCGTGAGCGCCGCCGCAACCTCCGGGAGGGCAGCCTCGCGGGCGGCGGGGGCGGTGCCGGGGTCGCCCCGAGTGCCACTCCCGTCCGCGCCGCCAGCGCCCCCCCCGCTGGCTCGGCCCGCGGCGGCCAGGTCCCGCCGCCGCCGCCTGCTGGAGCCCCGCAGGCGGCCATCATGGCCCCGCCGCCGCCGCCGCTGACGGCGCCCCCCGCGGTGCCGCCGCCGCCGGCTGGCCCGCCCCCGCAGCAGATCCCCAACGCCGCCGTCCTGAACGTGGCCCTCGGTGAGGATCTCGAGCGCCAGATCTTTGGGCCCCCAGGGCGGGCTGGCGGTGGTGGTGATCTCGGGGGAGAGGTGCAGGCGCTGCCGTCGCAGGTCTTCACAGCCATTGCGCAGGGGACAGGCCAGTCCTCCTGGGCGCTGAGACTCTGCAGGCCCCCAGCATCGTTTACTCCTGAGCCCTCGGGGGGCTACGTGAGTTCCCGTGTTAAGATTCCGAGCCTGCCACTCTCTATGAGACTGCGCCTCTGTGCTCGCTTACGCTCCAGCTCTAGCAACGCCGCCGCGCCAGCTTGCGCGGGTGCGCCCGCAGTGGTGCCCCCCTGGCCCTGTTGCTTAGTTCTTCGTTCTTCGCACGGTCAACCGTGCGCCTAGCCATTTTGGCTTGCCATCCTGGCCTCTTCTCGCGCCTACCTGCGCTCGTTGGCCTCGATGGCGGTGCTGGGGTCGCCCCGTGTGCTGCTGTGCCGCCGCTCTCGCTTTACTTTGGGCCGTGGGGGCCAGTTGCCCTCGGATAAGCGCCCGCCGCTGCATGCGCGTCAGACCCGCCATTTCACCCAGCAGAGGTGATCGCTATATACTGGAAATGAGGCAGCCACAATGACGCTCATCCCAAGGCGGTTGAGCCGTGGTGATGTGGTGCACGTGTCAGCAGTAGCAGTAGCAGTAGCAGTAGCAGTAGTAGTAGTAGTAGTAGTAGTAGTAGTAGTAGTAGTAGTAGTCGTAGTAGTGGTAGTAGTAGTAGTAGTAGTAATAATAGTAGTAGTAGTAGTAGTAGTAGTAGTAGTAGTAGTAGCAGTAGCAGTAGTAGCAGTAGCAGTAGCAGTAGCAGCAGCAGTAGCAGTGGCAGTAGCAGTAGCAGTAGCAGTAGCAGTAGCAGTAGCAGTAGCAGTAGCAGTAGCAGTAGCAGTAGCAGTAGCAGTAGTAGCAGTAGTAGTAGTAGTAGTGTAGTCGTAGTGGTAGTAGTAGTAGTAGTAGTAGCAGCAGTAGTAGTAGTAGTAGTAGAGTAGTAGTAGTAGTAGTAGTAGTAGTAGTAGGAGTAGTGGTACTAGTACTTACAGTAGTAGTAGAGTAGTAGTAGTAGTAGTAGTAGTAGTAGGTAGTAGTATTAGTAGTAGTAGTAGTAGTGTGTAGTGGTAGTGGTAGGGTGTAGTGTAGTAGTCGTAGTAGTAGTAGTAGTAGTAGTAGTAGTAGGTAGTAGTAGTAGTAGTAGTAGTAGTAGTAGTAGTAGTAGTAGTAGTAGTAGTAGTAGTAGTAGTGGTAGTAGTAGTAGTAGTAGTAGTAGTAGTAGTAGTAGTAGTAGTAGTAGTAGTAGTAGTAGTATTAGTAGTAGCAGTAGTAGTAGCAGTAGTAGTAGTAGCAGGAGGAGGAGGAGGAGGAGGAAGCGGAGGATATAGGAGGGCGAGGAGGAGGATGAAGAAGAAGAAGGAGGAGGAGGAAGAGGAGGAGGAGGAGGAGGACACGGAGGAGGAGTTGGGGTTGGTGGGAGGAGGTGGAGGAGGCGGATGATGATGATGATGATGATGATGCTGCTGATGCTGCTGATGATGATGATGCTGATGATGATGGTGGTAGTGGTGATGATGATGCTGATGATGCTGCTGATGATGATGATGCGAACGATGACGACGATGATGATGATGATGGTGGTGGTGATGGTGCTGGTGATGATGATGCTGCTGATGATGCTGATGATGATGACGATGACGATGACGATGATGATGGCGATGCTGATGATGATGCTGATGATGATGCTGATCATGATGATGATGATGACGATGATGATGATGATGATGATGATGATGAGGATGATGATGATGATGATGATGACGATGATGATGATGATGAGGAGGAGGAGGAGGAGGAGGAGACGGAAGAGGAGGAGGAGGAGGAGGAGGAGGAGGATATAAAAAGAGATAGGAGGCGATAGGAGGAGATAGGAGGAGACAGGAGGAGATAGGAGGAAGAGGAGGAGGAGGATGAGGAGGAGGAGGAGGAGGAGGAGGAGGAGGAGGAGGAGGAGGAGGAGGAGGAGGAGGAGGAGGAGGAGGAGGAGTTGGAGGTGGAGGAGCGGGAGGAGGAGGAGGTGGAGGAGAGAGGAGGGGAGGAGGGAGGAAAGAGGAGGAGGAGGAGGAGGAGGAGGAGGAGGAGGAGATAGGAGGAGGAAGAGGAGGAGGATGAGGAGGAGGATGGAGGATGAGAGGAGGAGGAGGAGGAGGAGGAGGAGGAGGTGGAGGAGGAGGAGGAGGTGGAGGAGGAGGCGGATGATGAGGAGGAGGAGGAGAAGGAGAGGAGAAGGAGGAGGAGGAGGAGGACGATGATGACGACGACGAACGTTACAGTACATTGGCTTGAGTTTGCGCAGCGTCAGAAAGGGACGAGAAGGAGGAGGAAGAGGAGGAGGAGGAAAATCAGGAGAAGGAGTACAAGGAGGTGGATGGTATTCTTTCTACCGCCCCCCCCTCCCGCTCCCCGCGCTCGACGGCCAGGGACGAAGAAACTCGCGCTCATGTCTGGCAGAACGGTGGAGACGGCCGTCAAGAAGCGCACGACGGCCTTGAGAGGGCGTGCCGTTTGTCTAATTGTTTTGATGTGTGTGTGTCTCTCTCTCTCTCTCTCTCTCTCTTTTTTTTTTTTTTTTTTTTTTTCTCTCTCTCTCTCTCTCTCTTTCTCTTTCTTCTCATTCTCTCATTATTAAATCGCTTCGCTCATTCCGCCGGCCCTGGAGCGCTATTTGGGGCCTCTTGGGGCCGTCTTGGGGGCCTCTTGGGGGCTTCTTGGGAGCGTCTTGGGGCTCCTTGGCGGCGTCTTGGGCTCCCCTGGGGCCTCTTAGGGGGCTCTTGGGGGTCCCTTGGGGCGGGAGGGGGGGTAGTCGATTGCAGCCACCCCCTCGGAGGCCACGATCCTCGTGAGGGGTGGCGAAAAATAGCCTCCCCTCTGGGGATCGCCCGGGACCCGGCCGGGGATCAGCCGGGGTACTTTTCGTCTGGGGGCCCCCAGAGGCCGGCACGCGCGCGCGAACTAGAAATATTGTTAAGTAGTTACCGGAGATCTTAGCACGCCTTTGGCCCGTTGGGCCTGCGAATTTTTCTCCCCTTTTCTTCGATCCATTATACTCTCTCTCTCTGTCTCCTGCTCTCTTTACCCACTCCTCTTTGTCTCTCTCGTTTTTTGATTTTTTTGTTTTTTTTTTCCCTCTCTCTTTCTCTCTCTTTGGATTCCCCCTTCATCAGTCTCTCCCTCCCCTATTCGTCCCGACTCTCCCCTGACTTTCCCCTCACTTTCCACTGTTTTCTTTTTGCACTTACAAAGGATGGACCCTCGAGGGCCGACTTGTTCGGCAGACATCGAAGGAATCACCGCTTCGGCGTCGCCCAGGAATGATATCGATTGCCTATCACGTGCGCGCCCACCTTTTGGCATCACTGCGGAGCGATGTCTTCCGTTGCTCGACATTCGGGCGCTTCGAACGAGTAGTTTGGTAGCGAACGCGCCCATCTTGCAGCAATACAACCAGAAGAGGGGAGTACGGCGCTGGATGGATCTGCAGGGGCGATGTGTCGTTGACAAAGCGGTTGTTCAGCAGCAGCAGCAGCAGCAGCGAATCAGGCTCACGGTGGTGAGCTTGTACGTCAGAGCATCAGCTCCATAATGATCGGGGATATTGTCGCGTCTACCAGCAAGTGTTATGCCATCTCGCATACATAGTATCCGTTTTCCCTTCATCCTATCAACTACACGTTGGCGACGCCTGGGACGCAATTTCAGGCGTTACGAGCCTGGTTTCTTAGTCGGGACCATGCCACTGACCAAACCTCAGGCGCCATGTGGTCATGATGATGCAACGCGCAGACACCTGTTGTCGATAACGAGTCATTCGGTCATGTGTTCGACATCAGTTTCGGCTGGTTTGTTTTAGCGGCCACGACCCCAAGTGGAACATTTGTTTACGGTGCACCCTCCTCCTCCTCCTCCTCCCCCTCCCGCCCCTTCTCTTCATCACTTGCCCCCGTTCTCCCGAAGCTGGCGCTGCGGCGCTGCCTCTGTCGTGGAGTCTTCCTCCTGACCACATCGCGATGTCCAGGAGATTCCCAGGAGGAGTAGGAGGAGGAGGAAGGGGGAGGAGGAGGAGGAGGAGGAGGAGGAGGAGGAGGAGAAGGAGGAGGATCCTTCTCAATATGGCTCCTTTCCCCTCCCTTCCTTTCCCTTCCTTTCCCCTCCGCCCCTGCCCCTGATCCTTCCTTCCTTCTTTTCCCTTTCCTGCCCCTCATCCCCTCCTCCCTCTCATCCCTGCCCCCTGCCCGCTCCGGTGCCCTCCCTCTCGTCCTGGGTGCCTCCCCTCCCTCCCTCTCTCCCTTCCTCCCCTCCCTCTCTCCCTTCCTCCCCTCCCTCCTCCCCGTCACGTCCCGCCCAACTCCCTCCCTCGTGCCCCTCCCTCGCTGATCGGGGGGCCAGAGGGGGGGCGAGGTCGGCTGGCTCAGCGTGGGCAAGGGCAGTGGCTGCTCGTGCCAGTGCAGGCGCGGCCGCCCTCTGTCTGTTCCCGGGTCGGCAGAGGCTCGGCCGAAGGGCAAGAGGGGTCGCCAGGAAGCGCTGGGGGTCCTGAGGCAAGCGGGCCTGAAGATTTTTGCCGTGCTTGGCCTCCCTGGGTCCTCCACGGCCCCTGGGACTGGAAGCACTCAGGATGAGAAGCTGGCACGGGGGAAGGCCCCTCGGGTCCGGGACCCGCTTCTTTCAGGAGGGGAAGAAACACACAGACACAATTAATCGTCGATTCCCCAGAAAATATGGGAAAATATGGGAAGTGGGGGGGAAGACAGAAACCCAGAAAATATGGGAACATATGGGGAGTCTTTTTATTTGTGTGTATTTATTTGTGTGTCCTGGGGGCCCTTCATTCTTGCATGTTCAGAGAGGGCGCGCGAGAGAGGCCCCTGTCTTCCTGGGAGGGGAAGCCAAACCCAAGTACCGTTGCGCAGGGACGGAATGCTTCGTTCAAAGCCGTGCGACATGTTTCTGTCATCGCCGTTCCTGCCGTGCCGTTGCATGCGTGCGTGTGCAGCGGGCCCCGCCTCGCTGGATAGAATGAGCTCGGGGGGCACGTGGGCTCGGGAGCGTGCCCTGACGAGTTCCCCTGCTGCCAGCTTCTCTGGGTACGACTGCGCCGTGCAAGCTCTCCTGCTGGGCGACGGCGATCCGACGCTGTATCCTCTGCTCGCCTCGAGCTGGACGCGTTGTCGCCTGGCATCGCTCGGACGTGTGCATTTTTCCTTCGGCGAGGACCATCGAGGAGCATCCTTGATCATTTTGGGAAAAAACCACGCATGAAACCGAAACAAAACACAGGGAATGGACGTCCGAGCGATGGCCAGTGTCGGCGTCACAGCGAGGCACGGCAGGATACAGCCTGCCCGTCGGCTGCCGCTGGCGGGTTCGGGGAGCTCTCTCTGCTGGGCCTCGCCCCCGCCGACGTCGTCCCCGCCTCGGGCGTGCGGGGCGAGGGTGGCGGGCAGGTCGCCCGCGCGCGCGCGCGCGCTCGCCGTCCTCTGCCCCGGCCGTGCCCGAGGAATCCAGAGAGCGAGGATGGCTTCCCTAGGACCACGGGGCCAAACAACATACACCACCACCACATCTCTCACCCTTCTCTCTCCCTCCCAGGAGGAAGGGAGGGGCAGGAGAGGGAGGGTGGAGGAGGGAGGGGGGGGATGAGGTGGTGGTCCCGCATATTCTTGGGACCCGCAAGGACCTTCGGCTGCGTCTGCATGCCGCTCGCTCAGCGTCCTGTGCGCGGCGCGGCCAGCGTTGTCCGCGGCCGGGGCGCAGCGCGCGCCGGGCGGGCTGGCGAGGGCGCCCCGGGCCAGGCAGAGAGGGTCGGCGGCGGCAAAAGGGCGGGCAGGCCAGGGGGGGGATCCGATCGAGGAGGAGGAGGAGGAGGAGCAGGAGGAGGAGGAGGCGGAGGAGGAGGAGGAGGAGGAGGAGGAGTGAGGGGAGGGGAGGAGGAGGAGGAGGAGGAGGCGGAGGAGGAGGAGGAGGAGGAGGAGGGAGGAGGAGGAGGAGGAGATAGGAGAGGAAAAGGAGGAGGAGTGAGGGGAGGATGAGGATGAGGATTAGGAGGATGAGGAGTGAGGAGGAGGAGGAGGAGGGAGGAGGAGGAGGAGGAGAGGAGGAGGAGGCCGAGTCGGAGGCGGAGGCGAAGGTGGAGACGGAGGCGGAGTGGATGAGGCGGAGGAGGAGGATGAGGAGATAGGAGGAGATAGGAGGAGGAGGAGGAGGAGGAGGAGGAGGAGGAGGAGGAGGAGGAGGAGGAGGAGTGGAGGAGGAGAAGGAGGAGGAGTGAGGGGAGGAATGAGGATGAGGATGAGGATGAGGATGAGGATGAGGATGATGATGATGATGATGATGATGATGATGATGATGATGATGATGATGATGACGATGACGATGACGATG